CAAGCCCATGAGCTCCTTTTATAGTAGTTGAAACACATCTCCTCCTTGTACTTTTCCGATGTGGGACAACTTCTAGCACATGGAGACCATCCTTGTATTCTTCCAATGTGGGACAACTTTAATTCCAATATTTTGCCAAAACCTAACATGTTACAGGGAGTTGTGGAAGAGGAGAAGGTTGACTCGTTCAATGTTCCAGCCTATACGCCATCTATGTCAGAAGTGAATGCCGAGGTCTTGAATGAAGGAAGCTTTACCATTGATCGTCTTGAAGTGTCAAAATTAATTGGAACATATCTGATTATATATTCTGAACTAAACGTTCAATCACATAACATTTAATCTGTGTTTGAACCCTTTCTCGTGCGTCATTTTGGAGAAGTTGTTATGGATGAATTGTTCCATAGGTATGAAGAAATTATTAAAGATGAGATGTCAAAGGAAGAGATTGGGAATATTAACTTTGCTATTTCTCTCACCAAAATAAAATGAGAGAAATGAACCAGCTTTTTCAAGTTCTGTCTTCTAAATAATATATAAGCTTGGTACAAGGATTTGAAGATTAGAACATTTGTCTAATCTCATCCCCACATGTAATAATTTGATTTGTTTTAAAATGCTATATCGAATTATAAGAATATTCCAATTAGCTACAAAATTGAATAAAGCGGCCCTAATTTATCAAATAAAAGTATTTTTAACTAGCCACAAATTAAAGGAAAAAATCTAACTAAATGTATTGATTACCTTGTTTATTCAAATTTAAAGTTCACTGTGGATGATACATTGATTAATTGGATGAAAAAAAATAAAAATTTCTCTCGCAAGTTATATTTTTAGAAGTTTTTTTAATATAATAAATAAGATGAAGGATTCCAACTATGATCTCTTAATTAAATACAGGTGTTAATTATTGCTTAATATATCATTTAAGAAATTATTGTCAAAAAGGATTCGGCATTAAATAATCATAATCATACTGAATGTTAAAAAAAATCTCCAAACAAGAAAAATTTAATAAATTAATTATATTAGAATAAAGAAAGGTCAAAGTAGTTCATTTTTATATCAATATCTAAAGATTTTTTCATAATTTATCATGTAAATGATTAATTTTAAACAAAATATAACTTATTTTTCTTTTCTCCAACACGTCATTGGAATGTTTATCCCAAAATTAATTAACAATGAAAGAAATATCTCATGCCTTGTTAAATTTTTTTGACATAAGGTCCTTAACTATGAATATTTTTGAAAAAAAATATATAAATAAAGAATTCATAAAAATATTTAATCAATAAATAACCACTTTATGCTTTTTACCTAAACTAAAAATATTTATTCGTAGTATTATGTTCCCAACAACAACACACAACAGTGATACATTGTTAATATTTTTTTCAATATTTTATCTGAAAATTTTAACGATTTGCACAAAAAAAAAATCTACAAACTTCTTAAGTTGATATCCAATTCTTTATCAACCTATCAATCAATATTTTATGCCATTATATTTAATACTCATGAATTAACATTTTACATTTTTTAATCTGTATGAAAATATCAACATGTCAATTAATATTTTATATCTTATATTTGTGGAACTGCTCCTTCCACTTACGATCAGCAATCGAATATTGTAGACTCTGAATTCCCTTAATTTTGTTTCTTTATATGCTGTTAAAAAAAAAAAGAAAAAGAAAAAAACTTATGATCAGCAAAAAGCTCCTGCATTGGAAAAATTGGCGGTAGAATGAAAGAATCCAACTATCGATGTTGGATGGAAGATTTACCGGATGATGATGCTAAATAATAATAATAATAACATTGAATTATAATTGAATTAAAACTATTTTCAGCTCAATGAGAATTCTATTAATTAATTATTAAAAAAAATCTTGCAAGGAGCCCTGATCATCCCCTTCGAAATTTCCGACAACAATCTCTACTCCCATCTCTTTATTGAATTAAAGGGATCTTGAGATCATGCATGCGATAAAAATCATCTACATTTCTACAATGACAGAGAGAGATATGTACACATATAGCCTCTTTAAAGAATATAATTACACAATAGCTTAAATCTTTATAACTTATATAATAGTAAAACCATGGAAAATATATCGTATATAGTACTCGTTTCATATAACCTAATAGTTTAGTATAAATCAACAAAAAATATATATTACATAATCTTTTTTAGGAGTATAAGTTAACATACTATTAAAAAATATCGGGAAAAAAGATGCCGAAAAAAAACGCGGTGAGAAAAATATAAAATTATTTAGGTTGAACGAGAGATTTGAAATCCAAATATGGAAAAAGTGGATAAAAATCAAATCTAATAATTTAAATAAAAAAATCAAATTGAGTAGAACAGTAATAATTATAGGCAATCTTGGATTAATAAAAGGTTTAAATCTATAAATCCTAGACAATTCCTCGCAATGATATGATATATACGAATTGAGATATTGTCCATATATGGGACTGTGGCCGCAATTTCTAATAAGTCAGGAAAACTTAAATTGGGACTGTGGCCGCATTTCTAATAAGTTAAAAGAAAAACTTAAATTCGAAATTAAGCATGTTTAATCTTTAAGTTGAGTTACTTCTTGAAAGAAGTTTTTCACGTGGGTGAGAAGAAAATCAAGCAGGTAGCGCGAGGCCGGGACCATCAGGTACTAAATCTGGATTCCAATATAATGTATATATTAGCCTCATCTTGATAGCTTCTTTCGAAGGGATTTAGACTCACCACCTCTTTGTTGGAAGTATATGTCAATTATCGCTGAACTATGGTCGTTTTAACTTTTCCAAATATTTTCTAAACTCTCACAAAATATATATATAGTTGTAACATTTTGACCTACAAATTTATTTATTTTAGCCTAGCAAATAAAGTAGGACTACATAATTTGCACCTAGAAAGAAACATATAAAATTACTGGAGTTTTTATTTCAAAATTAATCGACAATGAAAGAAATAACTCATACATTCCATCAATTTTATTAAATTTGTTCATCTTGTTAACAATGAATGCTTTTTGAAAAAAAATATATACATCAAGACTACAATGAATGCTTTTTGAAAAAAAATATATAAATCAAGATTCATAAAAGATATTTAGCTAAAAATATTTACTAGTAGTACTATGTTCTCAACAATATTATATGTTAATATTTTCGACATTTTTAATGATTTACAAAAAAAGGAAAAAAAATCTATCAAAATTATAAGTTGATGTCTAACTCATATCTACGTATCATTCAATATTTTGAACCCTTATATTTAATACTCATGAATTAGCATTTTACACCTTATAATCTCTTTAAACGTATGAAAATATCTCTGACACGTCAATTAATATTTTATAGCTTGTATCTCTAGAACTGCTCCTTCCCCTCATGCAAGAGATCTGCAAACAAAATGGCTCGTGCATTGCTAAAATTGGCGGTAGAATGAAGAATCCAAGGATGTTTGATGGAGGATGGAAGATGGGAAGACTTACCGGATGATGATGCTAAATAATAATAATAATAATAACAGCATTTTATTATAATTGAATTAAAACTATTTTTAGCTTAATGAGAATTTTATTTAATTAATCATAACAAAAATCTTGCAAGGACCCTGTTCATTCCCTTCGAAATTCCACGAAGAATCTCTACTCCCATATAAGACGATTTTTTTCATTTTTATTTTTCGAGATACAGCTGGATTTGTTAAACTTTTTGGATTACCTGATTGTCCCCTTAATTTTGTAATGAATTTATTTAGGCACGAGATTGTGGTGAAATTTTTATAATATTTAATTAAAGATCTTTTGAGTTACGTGTCAATCTGAACTATCAAATATAATATCTTTGTCTGTATGTAAGAGTAGAGGGAGAAGTACATGAATGAACCAACATTATATTCGAATGAAAATGATCTTCAGATCATGCAAGAGAAGCATTCGAACAAAAACCTTCTATATTTTTACAATTATATGATATATACCAATAAGATGATATTACCTCTCAAATAAATACTCATAATACGTGGGACTTAGGTCGCATTTCTAAAGTAAGGAAGATATAGAAAAAAATTGATAATAATTACGTATCAAGAAAGTCTTTTTTTTTCAATAATTCAATTATAAAACTTTAAAATTAATATGTGTGGTTCATTGACTTAGAATTAATTAAGAGGCAATGGATTCAAACCTTTATGATGGCCTGACCACCTACCTTAGAAATTAGTAATTTTCAGATGAGAAGTCAAGCAGGTGACGTGTTTAGATTTTCAAAAGAGTTCATGACCATCAGGTGCCAAATCTGGATTCTAATATAATACATATAGATATATAGATATAATCTTTGGCTGATATTGACATGATTCGAGCTGTCCCACCTGGATCGGAAATTGTTATTCATTCACATGCATACGAAACTGCAGTCTTCAGCCTTTCAACCATATGTGTGTGTCTATATATATAGTCACCAAATTATACCACTTGCATTCCATCAAACCTTTATCCTCCTCTATAAAATTGGCCAACCAAATCTCTACATTTACACACCACACAACACCTAGAAAGAGAGATGGTTGAAATGCTACCAATGAATGGAGGAGTTGGGGACACCAGTTATGCTAATAACTCCTCCTTTCAGGTATTTCTTATTTCCATACTCGTCTATGCACCCACCAGTAGAAGCTTCTGCTAACTAATTAACTAAACAAAGTATTTCTATTGTCTTGTATCTTTACTTTATACAGGGTTGCAAATTCATATATAGAAATTAAATTTATCCAACATATTAGTTTAAGTTTTTGGATTAAGTGGTGATTTATTAGTGTTACTAAAGAATTTTAACCAATAATTGAACACGATGCATCAGACCTTTCTTTCGCTGCCTATATTAACAAACCTAATTATTTTTGTGCTGAAAGAAATAATATCTAAGACTTGGTCCATCGTCAAGGAAGCCATTACTCAACTCTACAGCACCAGCTTTCCTACTGCCCTGACCATTGCTGACTTGGGTTGTTCTTCTGGACCAAATACTTTTATGGTCGTCTCCAAGTTGATCAAGGAAGTGGAAGACATTCGCCAACAACTACACAAAAATTCGATTGAATATCAAATCTTCTTGAACGATCTCCATGGAAATGACTTCAATTCAATCTTTAAATCATTGCCGAGTTTCCATGAAAATTTGAAGACCCATATGGGAAATGGCCTTGGTCCATGTTTCTTGGTGGGTGCTCCTGGTTCTTTTTATGGCAGGCTTTTCCCTGGAAAAAGTTTGCATTTTGTTCATTCTTCTAACAGTCTCCATTGGCTATCCCAGGTAATTCATCTATATTTAGATAATTTGGTAGTGTTTTCTTAATCATTAATAATGAAAACTAATTTAATCTTTGTTTTTTTTCTTTACAGCATGTGAAATTTGTTTAATTTAAATATTTGTTAGGTTCCTGAAGGAATTGAAAACAATAAAGGGAATATTTTCATATCCGAGACAAGCCCAAAGACAGTACTCGAAGCCTACCATAAGCAATTTCAAAAGGATTTTTCACTGTTTTTGAAGTGTCGTGCAGAGGAATTGGTGGCTGGTGGGCGTATGGTTCTAACAATTTCAGCTAGAACTTGCGAAGATAGGGTGAACAAGGAGTGTTGTTATTCTTGGGAGTTGCTGAATTTGGCAGTCAACGACATGGTTTCAGAGGTATAAGAAACTAAAGCATTTCTTTTTCAACTAGCTACAAAATTTGAAGAGAATTTTGTAATGTGTATTTTGAACATGCATTTGCATAGGGTATTGTGGAAGAGGAGAAGCTTGACTCGTTCAATGTTCCAATCTATATGCCGTCTTCATTGGAAGTGGAAGCTGAGGTCTTAAATGAAGGGAGCTTCATCATTGAACATCTTCAAGTTGTAAGAGTTAATTGGAACATTTATAATAATGAACTCAATAGTGACATTCCATCAAATGAGATAATTGACAGTGGTTATAATTATGCAAAATGCATAAGATCCGTTGCTGAACCACTTCTTGTTCGTCATTTTGGAGAAGACATTATTGACGAATTGTTCAGTAGGTACAGAGAAATTATCAATGATCACATGTCAAAGGAGAACATCGAGAATATTAGCTTCACTATTTCCCTCACCAAAAAATAAAATGATTCTTCGTTGAAAGAATATAAATATTAGAATAATGTTGCGTGATCTCCTCTCTCTAACTTATATGTAATAATTTATTTTCTTTTCCGTGTAGATTGAGCTTAAGAAGTACCCACTCTCTGAAACATTAATAATAAATTATAGCAAAGAGTGCCTATGCGACTTGAAATAAATTATTAGAGCTTCCTTAGATTTTTTTATTTTTCTCTAACATTGTTACGTGTCGCATAACTCAACTAATTAAAAACTTCTTTTACATCGTTAAAAAATTCACAATAAAAATTCAGTGACATTTTAAAATATAAATTTTGCTATGCCGTTTTTCTATAAAGTAATAGACCATAATGTACCACTTAATTGTTAATATGATGGTCAAAGTATCCAATAACTGAATTAAATTTATCCTTAAAAAGAGGAGAAGAAGTTAGAGACTATCATTAAGATTTCCCTTCCCAGACAGAGAGGTGTAGATGAAATCATATGGAACATCTATAAAAAGGGCATTTTTACTGTAAAAAAGTGCCCATCTTCTGGGAATGAAAGTTGATCAAGACGAGGAAGCTTTTTATTTTATTGGTGGATGATGTATATATTTCATCAAAATAAGACATATAATATTTTCAACTTTTTTGTACTCAATGAATAAAGTGTATTTTTCTAAAAGTTAATTTTAACGTTTGGTGACAATAAAAAATTAATATCAGATTCCTAAACGATGTAACTGACTGGAAAAGTTTTCATTTTTTTTTAACCAATTATTCAATATATCATCCACGGTGAACCTTAAATTTTTAAGTTAAAAGCCTAACAAAGTTTTGTCTTTTTCCCCCTTTACGTTTATTGCCAAATTAGGCCCTTTTATCCAATTTTGTAGCTATATTTGAATATTCTTATCCATATAGCATTTTGTAACAAATCAAATTATTACATATAAACTAGGAATGAGACTGAAATTTTGTAATCTTCAAATCCTTGTACCATGAATATGTATTATTTAGAACACCGAACTTGAAGCTAAGGTTATTTTTCTTATTTTATTTTTGTGAGAGATATAGCGAAGTTGATATTCCCCGTCTCTTCCTTTGACATATGATCTTTAATAATTTCTTCATATCTATGGAACAATTCATCCATAACAACTTCTCCAAAATGACGCACGAGAAGGGGTTCAAACACAGATCTCATGCATTTCCCATAATTATAGTCACTTTCGATAATGTTATGTGATTGAACGTTTAGTTTAGAATATATAATCAGATATGTTCCAATTAATTTTTGACACTTCAAGACGATCAATGGTAAAGCTTCCTTCATTCAAGACCTCGGCTTTCACTTCTGACATAGATGGCGTATATAGGCTGGAACATTGAACGAGTCAACCTTCTCCTCTTCCACAACTCCCTGTAACAAACCAATGCAAAAGGAGGTTCAAAATTCTACTCAAAAGAATGTTGAAAGATGGGATTAATCGAGAAGTTTAATTTGTACCTCTGTGACCATGGAATTGAGAACCAAATTGAGAAGCTCCCAATTAGTATTGCACCACTCCTTGTTGGATCTATCTTCGCTTTTTCTCACTGTACTTATGAGAACCATACGCCCACCAATCACCAATTCCTCAGCACGACATTTCAGAAACACTGAAAAATCCTTTTGGTATTGCTTTCGGTAGGCTTCCAGAACTGCCTTCGGGCTTGCATTCGATATGAAGATGCTCCCTTTATTGCTTTCAAGCCCCTTCGGGAACCTAGCAATGATATGATTCCATTTTCATTTGTTAGATTACTTTTCTTTTCAACGTGAGATTCTTTGACATACTCTCGAATGGATCCAATCTCAACTCATATCCTATTTTCTGACTAGATGCTCGTTTGAAGAACTTGTTGGACACGGATACTATTTTAATATTATGGATTTATATCTCAAAATCAATTAGCAATTAGATGAATAATCTAGGTATTTTATAAATATTTGTCAGGTCTTTTATTTTTTAAATGGGATTATTTTTTAATTACACCCAATTAATTAGGCTAGGACAGTAGATTTGACCTGGGAATTAAGCCAATGGATGCTGTAGGAAGAATAAACAAAATGCAAGCTTGTAGAAGGGAAAAGCCTGCCATAAAAATTGGCGTTGGAACGAGGAATCGAAAGATGTTGGATGGAAGAGTTCCGGATGATGATGCTATTCAAACTTCGAGCTATTTACTTACCAGTTGGAGGTGTTTTCTCCATTTTCGCGAGTGGAGTTCCTCTCCATATATCTTTTTTATTGTTGCTTTCATTTATGTCCCTGTTCAAAAATAATAACATTATTAATAACATTGAATTAAAATTATTTTTAGCTTAATGAGAATTCTATGTAATTAATTAAAAAAATTAATTAAAGATCTTAAAGTTCCGAATCAATCTAAACTATCAAATATAATATCTTTTGTCCATGTGTACATATAATTCGAAAGGAGAGAGAAAGGTACATGAACGAATTACCACTATATTTGAATTAAAAGAGATCATGCAAGTTGACAGAGAAGCAGAACAAAAATCCTCTATTACAATAGAGATATTTTCTCTCGCATATACCTATGATATTAGTAGTTCATACATGTTTCTAACACCAGACCAGGGTGGGTAAACGGTAGTATTTACTTCATACATCTTTTCTTTCCATTTTGGCAATAATCTCTTTCAGCAGGTCCAATTCTAGAGTGAGTTGATTATGAAAATAAAATTGAAAAGAAGATTACAAATAGATTTACATTAATCTTACAATATAAAACTTAAAAGTGCCATCAGCCACAAAAATACTAGTATATTTTTAACCTATTTTTCTGGTACAGCAATCGAATTGCATTAATTTTAATGATACGTCAACATGAAATTTAGTTCAACAATAATTGACATCTGTCTCGAATTTCAATTTTCCACCCCCACTTGTTATACCAAAAAAGAAATATATTCAATAGTACGATATATAAGTTAAGGATGTTATTTATTTAGGAAAAAATAATTGACCTATATACTTTCATATGTGAATTATAATTTTAAACTTTTAATTTCATTACATCGCGAGCTTTTAAACTTAAATAAGTGGCTTAATTAATATTTAAAAAAAAACTCTCATAAAACCAACAAAAAATAACTCCGAATAAAGCCACAAATATGAATATAATCGAATTATAAAAATCCTCGAACATGGCTCCAAAATTAATTAATCTAGTTTAAAAAATGCTTAAATTCGACAATAAGATGCCCAATACAGCTAAAATCCATCCAACATGTAGACAAATGAATTGTTATAAATGTAGTATTATGTCGGCCACAAGAATATTTGCACCAAACCACAAATCTTTGTAAAGGAAAAAAAAAAAAAGGTAAACTTGCCGTATTGAGAGTATTAATTTTGATTATAAATCAAATTTAGGGTTAAAAAATCAAACTTTTAACTATTTAAGATATAAATCGTTGAGTTAATATAGGATTAACAAATGATTTTTTTTCTCTTTTGTTCTAAATGTTTAAGAGTGATTTTCTTCTTTTTCTTTTTTCTTTTTTAGTTAAACAAACGTGGGGATTTTCTATGAGTAATAGAAATCTAATAAACTATTAATTTCGGCTTATATTGGCAACTACCAAATAATTTGTAGTAATCTCCATCAATAACTAAAAAGAAAAACAAAAGGAGTTGGTCTACCTTCATATTATTTATATCTATAAATTATTGTTTAAACGTGGGGATATTCATATTAGGTTGGTGCATGCGATTGCTACCAAGCCATAGGTAAAAGTTTTATATGTAGTAATAAATTTTATATATTAATTCCATATCTCTAAAACTTCAAGGTCGGTCCAACGAATATCTACCTCTCGTTGATAGGAGGGATTAAGTTTAAAATAGACAATATCATATCATGGGAAGGGTCACTACTAACATACTCGGATGCTTCCTCATATAACACATTTTAAATTAAGAATAAGTTTATTTAGGCGCGAGATAAGTGTAGTAAACTTTTTTATATATAATTAAACATCATAAAGTATCAAATATATATTATTATTTTTGTGTATATATTTATTGTGTTGCCCGATGTTGACCCAAATTCATTTGGCCCAACTATGAATTAAAAACTGATGCCGCCTTCCATTATTGTTGATCATTATTAAATATATATCCTTCAAACTCCATCAGCCTCAAAGAATCATTGCCACCGACCTCTTGCATAACCCTTTATTCTCCTTCTATAAAAATGTTGAACTATGAATAATATTCACACACCATTAGAGAGAGAGAGAGAGGTGAGACTGAAAATGGTTGAGATGCTACCCATGAATGGAGGAGTTGGAGAGATGAGTTATGCTAATAACTCCTTGTTTCAGGTATAATTCCTTTTCTGAATAACACTTAAATCACTAAAGACTCCGTTTGGTTAGGTTGACGTTGTTGTTTTTCGTTTTCAATTTTATTAAGAAATTTAAGTGTTTGACAACTATTTATGTTTCTTATTTCTTATGTTTTAGAAACGTTCTCAAAACTGTATAAAAAATTTTAGAAATCAACAAAAACAAACGTCTTGTTTCTTGTTTTCATTTAAAATTTGTTCCAAAATATAAATAAAAATATTTTTTTTTATTATTCTTGAATCCAAAGGGTGTTTGGGGTATACAATTATATTTTTCTTTATTAAAAAAAAGAAACATAAACAATAAACAAGAAAGTCGCCTAACCGACCGTGAGAGTTTGTTGGGTAACATATCTATTTTTTGTTTTTCTTAATTACCTTAAAGAAATTTGTTTTGTTTTTCCTATTTTAAGGATGTTCTAAAAATGAGAAACAAGAAACATAAACAGTTGCAAATGCTAATTAGATTTCTTAATAAAATTGAAAACTAGAAACAAGAAACGAGAATATTACTAACATACCATAATAAACCTAAAAGTTTAAGTCGGTGAATTAGGATAAATTTAATATTTTATAGATATCTTAATTCTAATGATATTATTTTCTTTGGTAGATCTGTTGATCAACGGTTAAAATATAAGTAATAAAACATTAAAATTTGAACGTTCCAAATCCTATCTAATCTACACAATTCCAATGCCATATTAATGAAATTCTTAATTTGTATGCAGCAAAAAATCATATCCATGACCTGGTTCATCACCAAGGAAGCCATTACTCAACTCTACAGCACCAGCTTTCCCACTGCCATAGCCATTGCTGACTTGGGTTGCTCTTCAGGACCAAATACTTTTATGGTCGTCTCCAATTTGATCAAGGAAGTGGAGAAAATTCGCCAACAACTACACAAAAATTCGATCGAATATCAAATCTTCTTGAACGATCTCCATGCAAATGACTTCAATTCGATCTTTAAATCCTTGCCAAGTTTCCATGAAAATTTGAAGACCGATATGGGAAACGGGCTTGGTCCATGTTTCTTGGTGGGTGCTCCTGGTTCTTTTTATGGCAGACTTTTCCCTGGGAAAAGTTTGCATTTTGTTCATTCTTCTTACAGTCTCCATTGGCTATCCCAGGTAATAAATCTTCCTATTTTGTTGGTTGTGTTGTTTTTCTTAAAACAATTGAAAACTAGTTTAATCTTTTGAAATTTGTTTAAATAATATTTGTGAGGTTCCTGAAGGGATTGAGAGCAATAAAGGGAATATTTTCATATCTGAGACCAGCCCAAAGACAGTTGTTGAAGCCTACCACAAGCAATTTCAAAAGGATTTCTCAACGTTTTTGAAGTGTCGTGCAGAGGAATTGGTGGGTGGTGGGCGTATGGTTGTAACGAGTTCAGCAAGAATATGCGAAGAAAGGGTGAACAAGGAGTGTTGCTACGCTTGGGAGTTTCTGAATTTGGCTCTCAATGACATAGTTTCAGAGGTATGAGAAATTAAATCTTGGATTTGTAGGTGAATTTGAAATTATTTTAATTGTTTCCGATGAAACATAAAATTTAAAATTTAAAATCATATACGATTTCAAAATTCATTTTTTATTTCAAATAGCTCGGATTTACTGGGATTTTTTTTTTTTAAATCTTTTGATACCAAATTTAATCGGGAGAAAAAATGAGGAACATCCAAGTTGTACACCTCTATATATCACCACTCAACAAACTATATTACATCACCACTCAACAATCTTCCATATTTGAAATGCATCACTCTAAAATTTCCTTAATTTTTTAATTTGAATATAAGTTCGATTTATTATGTGATTTTGGTTTTAGATTTGAAATCATTTGTCTTTAGTATTTCTTATTTGGATTGAAATATTTGCATGGTTTTTTCTTTTACAATAAATGTAAAATTGTAAGTTTAGTTTATTAGGTTGATTTCATTTGATTAACAAATCGACTCTCTTTCAACATAATTGATATTATGACATATTACTGTTATTATTATTATTACATCTCGTAAAATTATACGGGCATATTAGCGAAATATTATACTTTCTTTTCATTTCTCGTAAACATTTAAATAAGGAATTTTAATTTCAATGATTTGAAATGAGTTTAGTTCCAAATACAATCAAGAATTTGAATATCATTTCCATCTTTTAAAATCTTGAAATTTGAAATCATCTCGGATCCCGACGCTATAAAGCATTATTTTTCAAGTATACTACAAAATCAAAGGTAATTTCTATGAAAATTAAACTCTTTTAATGTGTATTTTGAACATAGGGAATTGTGGGAGAGGAGAAGCTTGACTCGTTCAATGTTCCAATCTATATGCCATCCTTGTCGGAAGTGGAAGCCGAAGTCATGAATGAAGGGAGTTTCATCATTGAATATCTCCAAATTTCAAGAATTAATTGGAACTTTTATAACACTGAACTAAATGACATTCCCTTAAAAGGGATGATTGATAGTGGTAATAATTTTGCAAAATGCATAAGATCTGTTGCTGAACCACTTCTTGCTCGTCATTTTGGAGAAGGCATTATGGATGAATTGTTTAGCAGGTATAGAGAAATCATCAGCCATCACATGTCAAAGGAGAATAATATTGAGAATATTAACTTCACTCTTTCTCTCACCAGAAAATAAAATGGGGTAAAATATACGTTTGGGGTCTCTGTTTCAAAATTTCATAGCTAGTTTGGTCCCAACTTTTAAAAATTAGTTCTAAAAACTCCCTGGAGTTAACATTCTATTATTGTCACTAATGTAATGCTGGTATTGTTAGTAGTAATAAATTTAACAATTTTATATTATTTTTAACTCTGTCATTTTTCTGTATGTGGCCTACTCCTTCCCTCTTCTCTCTCGCAGTTCCCTCCGTCTTCTCCGTTTGGTTTTCTCACTTCCTCCATCTCTCTTCCTCTCCCTACAAAATGCATCCAATTTGTAACTCATAGAATCAAGAGCGCAAGTTCGTGGAAAATTAGTGGCTTAACGAAATTAGTGGAAACTTTTGCGATTTGAATCTTATCATAATCGTCCTAGGCCAGTGCTTTGAATAGTTTATCAGACCACTAATAGTCTTGTCTTATCGAGCTAAGAGAAAAAAATTTTCAATTAAACTATGCTCTTCTGCAAAGAAGATTGATTTATTTATAATATTGTCACCTACCTTACCTCATTTGAGACGCTAAGTCACTCATAAGACAAGTGAAACCAACCAATCTTTTTCCAAAATGACTTAACATATTTTACGGACAGACAAATAAGTAATTAACAATTAAAAATTGGGATAAGCTTTGTTTGAGATAATTAAAAGATTCTAAACATGTTGCCAATTATCACTGTCATCTTAATTGATTAATGTCGTCTTAAATCTTATAATTGTCTAAAAAAAACAGATTTTCAAGAATGAAATGGCCATTGAAACTGGTAGGGTTTGGGGGAGGAAGGGAATCCAATCTTGATCTAGAGGAATACTTTTTGTGGTCTATGATCATTGAGATATCTTTGACAGTTAAGATGTACTTTCAAATTTTCTCAAAAAAAGAAAAAGAAAAGTACTTTCAAATTATAATTATATGCATTAAATATATGACGATGCTTTGAATGGTCTATGATCACAGGGTTGTTGACCCATTTTCCCGTTTGGCTAGATAATACTACACGTATTTGGTTAGAAGACTTAACTAGCGCGCTGATATTCATTTTCTTGTTTTAGAGTTTTGACTGTTCTTGCAAACTTTTGCTAATTTTCCTTGATTGGCCTACATTTACTTTTATGACAAAGAAGAGAAATAAACCATTAAAAAGACAGATAATTACAAAAATAATATAGATTTAAGTAATAAAAATAAATGAAATTTAAATGAAAAATATAAAATTGAATTAGGCATTCAAATTATTGCCAAAAGTAGATAAGGTGTTGGTCGAAGTAAAAGAGTCACATACAATATATTCGATTTAGGTGCTTAACACGTCACATATGAGCTGGACGTAATTGAGGAGATTTACATACAATATACACGATTTCCAAAATATATATATATATATATATATATTCTGAAGAATGAAGGGGTAGAAAGTCGTACTCGGGTGACTATGCTTTTGTCAGGCAGTACGTCAACAAGTAGGTTTATTGATTAATGGTAAAGTAAAGATATATATGGGAAGAAAATCGCAACCAATACATGCCATTTCTGTCTCTAAGGTTCCATTGTTTAACTTTGAGTCACGTATCAAATCGAAGTCGTTGTCGACTTCATCTAGATATCGTGGCCAATAATTGTGTTTTCACGTAAAATTGCCGTCAATAATTATGATTTCATCATCTTATTTTTAAAATTAGTTTCTAATCTACATTATTTCAATCATTATTTTTTCCTAAATAATATTATTTAAAAAAATTCAAGATGTGTGGATCAGGGGTGTACATCGGTTAGTTTTCACGCTAGACCTACATACAGTTGAGTTCCAAACCGAGGTTTAAGATTGATTCTACCGACTATTTCGGTTCAGTTGGTCGATTTTCAATAAACCAACCTTCTTTTTTAATTTACAGACTCGTTTTCTGAGCGGCAGGGGCTATGCCGGCAAGGGATTCAGGGATTGGCTGCTGGCGCCAGTGATCGAAATGCAGAAACATCGGAAGAAGAATCGTGAGAGGGAGAATGGCACGGACCAAAGAAAGGAAGAAGAGAGAGAGATATGAAAGAANCTAGAGGAAAGTTGAGACTGAGAGGAGATAAAACGAGAGAGAGTAAAAATGGATGAAATAAGGGAGGGAGAATAGTTGAAAAGAACTATTAATGAAAATGAAAGAAAAGAAAAGATGTGGCCACCCAGATAGCTGAGAGAAAGATAAGTAAAAATTAAAATTAAAATAGAATTGTGTGCATCACATAAATTATAACAAAAAATTAAAATAGAATTGTGTGAATCAGGTGAGTCAACGTTCATGTGAACATGATTCGAAATTTTTTTAGTACAAACATGTGGAAGCGAGGCATTGAATACACAGTCTCTTTATTGGAGATATACGTCATGAGTTATGCTCGGTTTGACACGTGAATAAAAAGATTGGGTCGACAAATAGGGAAGGAGCACTTTCATAGTTTTCTTTTTATAACAAAATGATCGGTCGGTCGATTTCTATTAATAACGGGTGAGCCAACCAATCGACCAGTCGATTTTTTATTTTGAAAAATCGATTCCGACCGACACTCTTATATAAAACCATCCAATTGGCATCGGATCAATTTTTCGGCTGTGGTTGATCCCTAGGAGGATATGAAATTTATTTAATTTCTAGAAATTATTATTTTTGAAATATTGCATTGAAACTTATGGGAATAGGGGATGGGGTTCTTCTATAAATAAGGGTCTCCCGCTGCAGCTGCACAGTCACAGAGATGGACGTTTCCAAAATTCTCCATATGAATTCAGGAGTTGGGGCCACAAGCTATGCCAAAAACTCCCTACTTCAGGTTTTCCTTCTCTTCTCTTCTCTTCTCTTCTTCTCCTCACAACAACTTGTGTTTCATATACTTTTCATTTACATTGGGTATTATTTTTATTTAACCCTTATGTATATTATTCTTCCATTTCATTATTTGTTGATACATACTTCTTTGGTTTAAATACTATTTTGGTCGATTTACTTTTAGTTTTGGTTCACATGCTTTCAATCTTAACAAAAATCCTTAAATACAAATTTATGGTTACATTTCATGAAATATATTAGGTGTAATATCATGTTGAAATTGCAATTGAGAAAATAAAGTGAAAAAAGAAAAACGAAGCAATCAAATTAGTCACCCTCTTAGAGTATAAGAACCAAAATAAATGTTTCAAAAAGTATAACTAAAATAGACAAAGCTAAAAGTATACCGACTAAAATAGACATTTTGAGARTAGTGGCTAAAATGAACAAAAACTGAAAGTATACGAATAAAAATAATAATTAAATTAAACCTTTTTTGTGTTCTTGAAGGAGTTGTTGGTAAAGTTAACAGGAAAGAAGTTGATTTCTTGCACGTGTTTGGTTTTTTGTTTACTTGATGATGGTTTTCTTCGTCTTCTTTATTTTTATTTTTTTAATCATTCCTTTTAATTTTAGATGATACTTTGTGATAGGAATTTGTTTTAAACTTTATTGTATTTTCTTCCCCTTATCAATTATACACTACGATTTGTTAATGGATCATATATACATACATATATAGACTTCATGGTTTGGATTTTGATCAGCAAAAGGCAATATCCCTGGCGTGGCCAATCATAAAGGAAGCCATTGAGGACTTGTGCACTAACAACAATTTTGCCACAACCTTAACCATAGCCGATTTGGGCTGTTCTTCAGGACCAAACACTCTTATGATTGTTTCCAATTTAATCAAACAAGTGGAGGAGATTCGTAAAAAGCTTCACAAAAAGCAATTCCAATATCAAGTTTTCTTCAACGATCTTCCTGCAAACGATTTCAATGCCATTTTCAGGTCTTTGCCAAGTTTCTTGTAAGATTTGAAGGCCCAATTTGGAGCTGATTTTGGTCCATGTTTCTTCAATGCTGCGCCTGGTTCTTTTTATGGTAGACTTTTTCCCAACAAAACTCTGCATTTTGTTCATTCTTCTTATAGTCTCCATTGGCTCTCTCAGGTGATTTTCCAAAACTAAATCCTTATATCCAAAGAATAAGCTTTTTCAATAACGGTTGAAATTCCAAAATTTAATTAGGTTCCTAAAGGGATCGAAGAAAGTAACAAAGGGAACATTTTCATAGACAGTACAAGTTCAGAGAGTGTGGTGGAAGGATTTTACAGGCAATTTCAACAGGATTTCTCCATGTTTTTGAAGTGTCGTGCAGAAGAAATAGTAAGTGGAGGATGCATGGTTCTCACAATGTTAGGAAGAGCAAATGAATATCCATCAAACAGAGAGTTTTGTTACGCTTTTAAACTTTTGAATTCAACTTTCATGAATATGGTCGCAGAGGTAAAGATACAAGTAGTTTATACGATAATATTGTATTATTATTCTTTTTTCCTAGTAAAATTGTTCAAATGCAATTTAAACATTTTTTTTACGGTGAAATTATCGCAGGGGACTGTGGAAGAGGGAAAAGTTGGAACGTTCAATATTCCAAACTACATGCCATGCCCATTAGAAATGAAAGCCGAAGTCTTAAAGGAAGGAAGCTTCACTATCAACCGTATTGAACTTTCGAGAATTGATTGGAATTTCTACACTACTGAATTCAATCGATCAAATGCTTTTGTTGATAGTAGTTATAATATTGCTAGATGTATAAGATCGGTGACTGAACCACTTCTGATTCCTCACTTTGGAGAGGCCATTATTGAGGACTTATTTTCTCGATATAGAAAAATTGTTAAAAATGAGATGTTTGAAAAGAAAATTGAATTTGTCAACCTCACTCTTTCCATGAGTAAAATAAAATGAAGGGAAAAAAAATAGAGACGATAATATTATGTCACCTATATTTGTATAACATTATTATTCATGTAATATCTAACTTTGATGTCAATATGAGTATAACTCAACAGTAATGTATCCAGTTTTAATTATATTTTAATTATATTTGCACTCGTTTGTTGTTCCATATGCTTGTTTACCCATATAAAATGGATTTGGACAAACAACTTTTTACTTTGTTTTTTATTCTTCCAAATTCTTGCTCTCCCATCATTATCTGATCTCATTCACACATTTAATTTATTCTATATTTTAGTTTTTTATTTTATTTTATTTATGTATATTAATTAAATCCAGATTTCTTT